TGTAAACAACCAATAAAATTCTTTGTTAAAGCGAGTTAAAGCGATTTTCTCATACGGCCACAGACAATTTCAGATTTTTACACAGACAATTCTAATAACACACAAACCAAGTTAAAGCGAACCTGCAAGACGTGGGGTAAGGACCAAACAATGAACTTAGCGTTCTTGTAGTCTGATAAGTCTGTATTTTGACACGTATTTGATGCGTGTTGAGATCGACTTTTGATGATTTTCCTAGTTTTAAGGTGTTACAAGTCTCAATTTTAGCTCAAGTTATGTTTACCGGGCGTTGGTTCGAGTTTTGTGTTGTTTGTAGTCAAAATCAGGGAATTTGAGCCCGGCACCGGCACTTGAGGAACAATTGGGATGATTTGAGAAGCATTTGAGAATGGTTTGATAGCTTTGGAGGTCACCGGAAGATTCACGATGAAGATTTGAAGGAAAAAGAGCTCTAGGATTGGCTACGGGGTCAAAAGAAGATGAATGAAGATTGAAAACGACGATCAGGATGACCTTTTGTCAATCGTTCAAGCATATCTCTTTGTAGAAACATCCAATGTACACGATTCAAGTTCCATAGGAAAGCCAACTGCAAGGGAGACAAATCATATGAAGAAATCTTTGCGAGAATCTGAGAGGAAGAAGGTGAAAACAGACGATGAAGTCAGATGGTCTCTGCTGCGATTTCAGAAAGACATCTTCCACCGTTTTGATCATATCTCTTGATTGGATGATTTAAATCACATTCTGAAAATTGGGGTGGATAGAGGACTTCATTATCTACAACTTTCATGAAGGACGTTTTGTCAAATTCGGAATTTAAATAGGCACGATCGTGCCCTCAAAGTCAGACACGGTCATGCCTGAAGAGAAAAGCACCGCGGAGTTACTGCCAGCCAGGCACGATCGTGCCTGGGAGAGTCACGATCGTGCTTGCCCAAAATGCGCGTTATTGCTCCGGAGGCACGATCGAAGGCACGATCGTGCTTGGCATCGTGTCTGGCTCCGAAAATCCTAATTCAGCTCAAATTTCACCCGATTTTTCTATTTAAACAGCCTGTATACCCCCGTTTTCAAGGGGGGAGCTTAGAGAGAGTGCATAGCACGAATTTTAGAGGGATTTTCAGCCTTGTTCATCAATCTTTTGGGATTCTTTGTAAGTTCCACCTTTTTAATTAATGACAATTAATTCTTTTTATTCCAATTTTATTGATTCTTCAATTATGAATTGTGAGTAGTTTTAATTAGGGATTTGGTATTGATGAAGGGGTTAATCATGATGTATGGCTAGATTCTTTTCGGTTTAATTGCATGAATGCCGTTTAATTTGTGTTTGAATAATTTAATTGATATCTTTTGTAACCTAGAATCGCGACTAGAATTACAATTGCATGTAGAATAAATTGAGAGAGATCTAATTTGTTCTAGGACACATTCACACACACTTAATCGTTCGCTAAGAGATTAGTAGCGATTAAGGGGCCGTAAGCTCGCTCGTCTTGGCAATAATTTAGGATCCTGTCGCATGAGAGATCAGCATGGTCCCCTAAATTATTGTACTCTACGCCGCGAGAGCGGTAAGAACTTAGTAATGATTAGCTAGGCTCAATTAAATTAATTTCATGTAATTAGGCCTGATCTACCAGAAATCTGGTTACCCCGGAATCGATCCCTGTTCCCTTCGTCATTAATTAGAAAGAACCCCCTAGTTTAATTGTTCGCATTAGTTTTATTTTCCAAACCAACCAATCTCGCACGACGCTTTTATTTTATTTTCTTTTTAATCGCTGAATTTAATTAATTCTTGATTCCCTTTTGTCCGTCCCTGTGGAGACGATACTCGTACTTACACCACTATATTACAATCTATTTTAAGTGCGAGAAAACTCACATCATAGTCAGGCTTCTTAGCTAATGAAGCTTCAAACTTCTCCAGTTGACTACGCATCAACGACTTCATATTGCTCACCATAAGCTTATAGGACTCAAATGCCCAAGGGTACTTTTTGATGTTCTCAAAGTCTTCAACCCAATCAAAATGATCAGCATTGATCATTGTACCGTGGTCTCTAGTAAGCAACACACCATCAATGACGAAAAGGGAAGCGAACTTCAAAAATGCTAACGGCTCAATCCTCCTCTTTGGATTCAATGTCACCATTGTTTCCTTCAGATCTTGGTAAGTCACACGCTTCTTTCCTTTATAGAATATATCAGCCACACTACCTTTCTCCTTTTTTTTTTAACAAATCTCGGTCTGGTGGTGTACGCGGGCAGGTTGGTTATTTTACAGAAATCCTTAAAAGCGAACTTAAAGATCTTCCCTCTTATTGAAAACCAAAGCTCATCCTCAGGTTGTTGCTTAACCAGCCGCAACAACAGCAAATGCACAATCTGGCCAGAAAATTGCAATTCTGGAGGTTTAGCAAAATGACCCCATGGAAGCTTTTTGAACTCCTCCCTTTGATCGAGGGGCATGGAATCCAGCAAGTCACCCAATTTCCCAAAAAAAGTGCATTGGGAAAACTGTGCCGGGAAATGGGACTTAACGGGAACCATGAGTTCATGCTTTTTCCTACAAATAACACAAATGAAGTCATATATCTACACAGTCATGACTTACAACAGATTCAATTCTACACCCCATGTTCAAAATCCAAAATAATGTCCCCTTAAGATACCGAATCCCCTTCTACGTTGAGCAAATTGAATAATTTAAGCATATACTTCAAAAATACCGTACTGATCACACAAAATTATTTATTATCAAGGAACACAAACAACACATCACAAACTACGGACAAATGAAGTCAAATGTAACTGCAGAAAACGACTTCCATCATAATAAATTGTATAACCTAAACCGTCTGGCCACAGACATTATCAGTCCATCCTCCAAACAAATTAAAATTCCTACAATCCGGCCTTCATTAGGGTTCCCAAACCACCATTACAATGTGCTTCTCACTTTGTGAAACTCGTTTGTCAAGCGTATTCTTTCGAAATACCATACTGATTTTATTAAAAAAACAAACACAAACCATAGAATAGGGGCTCAAATTAAAGAATACTACTCAGAAATGTGTTCAAGAAGAGGATATTACCTTCTATTTGAAAGCTCAGCCGACGATGACAGTGACGTCCGGACCATTTTGTTGGTGGGTTCTTCAGGGGGACGCCGGGTTTCGAGACGAAGACGCTTCAGGAGACCGGGGATGCTTCGAGACGAAGACGCTGTGTGCGATACGAGACAACTTCATGGGATGGACATGGAGAGGCGAAGAAGAAGACATGAAAGAGGTGGAGAGGCGCAGAGAACGAGAAAAAACGCCGTAGAAGAAAGGAAGTGGAGAGGCGGGAGGTTTGAGAAGAGGTTCACACGTGCTGGAATGAGGTGGGGGAGGGGAGTAAAAAATTAAGTTTTGACCTTTTATATGGTGTACAAATTGTGTACATCTAATGTACATATAGAAAGAATTTTATTCTTTCTCTAGCACAAGCCTATGTGGTCTAGCCCTAGCCCTAGCCCTAGATCTAAGGCTCTAAGCTGCTCATTCAAGATTGATTAATTCAGCTCACTTAAAAATATCTTTCCTTTTCCGCTCAAATTCAGTTTTGATTTATGTGAAACTAAAAAATCGTTTTCCTAATGAAACAATCGAAGGTCATACAAACACAGGATTTTTTTCTAAATAAAAGGTGTTAATGAACAAAGGATTAAATATGCGATCTTTCTCAGAAAAGAGGTTTCCAAAATAAAATGACTTTTCTAATTTCAAAATAGATATCCATGCATATAATTCTAAAGGAAAATAACGAACAAAACACTTTTATTGCACAGATCAAAAATAGAATTTAATACGCAGGATGCTTTTTAATGTGAGAAAGGAAACTCTTTTGGTCATAATTTTTATGACTTATATAGTACTCCGTAGTATATTACTACGTAGTATTTTTTTTGGAGTATATAGATTAGTATTTTAGAAAACTATAGTAGGGTTGGGCACGCTCCGGTCCGGTCCAATATTTCGACGATCAAACCCGTACCCGTACCCGTGCCATGACTATTCAAACGGTTCGGTTCAGTTCGGTCTTAGACCTAAAACCGTTCGGTACGGTTCCATTTTCAAACGGGACGCTACTATGTCATACCAATACCAAACAATGTCACTTTTTTTAAGTGTTTAAGAGAAAATTAAAGTTTATTCATCTTCGAAAAATCCACACAATTCATCAATTTTCATATTACATAATTAATACATACCACCTTCGTCCATTAATTAAAGTCACAATTTGACTTTTTAAATGAAACTTGTTAAGCTTTGACCGCTTATTACTCAAAAATATAATAATGTTTTATCTAAAAAAAATATTATTATTCAAAGAAATAATTGTATAAATATGACCAAAATAAAGATGGTTTACAAAAATATGATTAGTTACTAGAGTAGTAATGAAATCATAGTAATTTATGTTCAAGTTTTGAACTTTAGTTACCACAACACTACGTTGTAGTAATGAATAGTGATATTTATGTAAATAAATTTTATTTTAATAATATTCTTATTAAAAACCCAGACCCAAAAGTCAAATTGTGACTTTGACTATGGGTTGTGGGGATTAAACTTTATATAAACTGTAGTAGTACAAATGTCCTGTTCGAAGTAATGATGTAAACTAATCAAAGTAATGATGTAAATGTACATTAATTTAAATACTTAAATCATATTTTGGTCCGGTTCGAAATATGAACTAGCCATGTCCGGTTAAAGATAAAAGTTTTGAGATCCGTTTCAAACTCCATTTTCGATCTAGTACCATACTGATCCGGTTAGATCTAGTATTTTTTCCCTCGCCCAAACTATAGAACTCCTAGCAGATAAAGAACTCCAATCAGTATCTTAATCACGGAGTATTAATATGAAATCCTAAAGGGCTTGGAACTAGGAAACGGAGTGCCTTCCTCTCTACGCAACTACGTACGTTTCCAAAACCCAAAGCAGCAATTTATAAGGCAGGAGCAAGATTGTTTAATTAATGAGCTCCATCTATATATAATTGTCTCTTTCCAATCCAATCAAACAAAGATTGAAAAACCTTCCCAACAAATACTGCCGCCGCGCGCCACCGCAATCAAAGATGAACGATTTGGCTAATTACGTAATCGTGGAAGGGGTTCACATACACATGCCGAATCCGGCGGCAGGTAACATTCAACCGCCGCCGCCGCCGCAACACGACGGTCAACGTCGTTTCCCTGTCTTATTGACCGTTCGATCCATCAACCCATGGGCTAATCCTAGATTTTCTTCTCACGATATTTTACGGTACAAAACAGAGCACAAGTTCTTGCTGAGTCAGAACGACTGCGACATCGCTACCGTAAACAGGATGGTCGATCTCATGAACGTACCTTATGATCTGAACGGAATAAATCTGTTTTGGAAGCTAGCTGTCGGAACCATTGTCGGGTCCGAGAGGCCTGTCGCTGACTGGGACGACATGGTTGTTCTTATCCGCGAGTTTCTTGAGAATGCGGCGGACGGTGATGATTTTGGCGGCGCACATCACACGTCACTGCTGATTTCGAAGTACGAGAAGCTGCCGGAGGATGAGATGAAGGCGCTGGCCGAACGGGTGAAACGGGAAGAGGCTACCGGGGAGTGGACGGAGCGGGTTTTCCGGCTGCCGCAGAGGATGATGGAGTTCCGGATGTCGGTGCTTCAGGGGAAGGTTATCGAGAGGGTCACGGTGGCGGGCGGTGGAGATGACGGCGGGGCAGAGAGGTGCGGTATCTGTTTGGTGGATTTGGGCGTTGGGTCGGTGGTTGCCCGGCTGCCCTGCTCACACTGCTCGCACGAGGGCTGCATTCTCCGGTGGTTGATGCAAAAGAAGTCATGCCCATTTTGTCGCTTCCAAATTCAAATCCCTGCCATTGATTCCGGCGAGCAAAGCGTTGCCCACACCATACCGGCTACAATTGTCCACGGGGTGGGGTTAAGCAGGAATCATAAATGGAGCCGCCGGTTTTTGAACCGGAACTGGAACCGTAATTATCGGAACCGTGTACCAATTCCGCCGGTTAGGAGCCGGAGGTTTTCTTGTACGGTTTGAAGATCTCATGCATCTTAGTGGAAAGTATACATTTTAATTAATAATAATCACAAACATTATATTTGCAAACTTATTTACTGATTGGGATTACTTTGTTGTTCGATCACTTAAGAGTTTAGATTGATGTATTTCTTGTTGTGTAATAAACTATCAATAGATTTTATATTATATGTTCTCCATTATTCTCCAATCCTGTTTATATATATCAATATATTTAAGTGATGTTTTTCCATTACTTTCACTATGTGATATTTCTCACTGATCTTAAATGCTATCGTATGAAGTATTAACTAGAAGAGTATGATTGTTAATTATACATGTCGGGGTTGTTTACATTTGGTTTTGTGTTTCAGATTATGGTTTGGAAGAATGTGGAGTGGAGGTCGAAATGGAAGTACTTAGCTTCATGCAATATTTGATAGTTCTGATACAAGCAGTTAGTTGGAATCAAGTACATGTAGTACAAAGCATATAAATCATTAATACTCAATTAATTCAGAACCCAATTTTGTACTTCGTATGAAACAACAGTTTAACATAAAATATGACCATAGTATCTAAACACATATTGAGTGATATGTAACAATCAAATAAGATTTATTGGATGGTGGGACATAACTCATATATAAGTTGTTTATTATTTCAATGACTTGATTTGAGGTGAGAATGAAAGTGACTCGGTATCAGCTACTACGTAGATATGAAGTGATATACGTGAATAGTTAGAGAACGATCCAATTTGTTATTTCTATGTTATGTAGGTATTGTTATTGCTTTATTATTGATAATTGGGATTTGGTTATCTGTATTACTTGTAGTTATTTTACTGAAAAAGAAATACATTTGTTCATATATTCCAGAATTTGTTGAATAATGTCTTACAAGTAATTACATTTTCAAATATATATTACGTACATTACTTGAATTGGTTCTAGCTCCAGCATAAGAACTTAAAAAGTTCCAATTCAACGAGGGAATATATGCTTTATGATATGTAAAAGTTATTCTCAACAGTAATTTTAGCATTTATAAAAAAAGGGTGGGAAACTCAACTTTGAATTTTTGATATGTAAATAAGAGAGAAACGATAGTGAAACACAATTACAAAGAATGGAGGCATTGCATTGTGATTAAGTGCCAAGGTAAGGTAAGGATGTTTTCTTTTAGACTGAAATTTGCTGGTCTGGTCTGGTTTGGTCTGGTCTTATCTGGTCTGGTCTAGTCTGGGACTGAAAACAGTCCAAAAGAAAACATCCTAAATCATTAGGTCACCAATAATGGTTTGTTGGTGCTTAAAGTTTTGGGTTTTTGCCTTCAATATCATCAAATTAAAGCAAATTCCCAAAAAAGTGACTAAGAAGGTCACATATTTGGAAAAACATTATATCACTTTATTTCTTTAGGGTTTATGTATTATTCTTTCTATTAGGGTTAATGTCACTATTCGATTTTAATGTCACTGTCAAATGTCACTGTGGCCACCGCTTGTGTCATTGTGCCGCTACTCATGTCACGGTGCCGCCGCTCATGTCACTGCCGCCGCCGCCCGTGTCACTGTATCCGCCGCCCGTGTCACTGTATCTGTCACCCGTGTCACAGCCACCGACGGCCATAGCAACACAAAATTGCTCCGACCACCGCCTCGCAGCCGGTGACCACCACACCCCAGCCCCCACCCCACAGCCCACTTCCCTTGACCTGCCCCTAGCCCTGCACGCCAACTGCCCCAGCCCTGCTCCCCTACCCCCAGCCCCACTCTCGGTCCCCAACCCCCCTCCCATGCTCCCCTGTCCTCCTCCAGGCCTCTGCACACCAGTTCGCCAGCCATCATGGAGTCCTCGCCGCACCCTTACTGAGATGGCAGATCCGGAACCGACGACCAAAAATTGCCGCCGTCGTCCATCAAGTTAGATCTGGCATCGGCGGCCCAAAATCACAGCTATCTTCCATCAAGACGGTGAATCCAGCACTGGTGGCCATCTAGGTCAAGGATCTGTCTGCGGAGGGCGATGGCGGCGGCGAGATTCGTCTTCTCTGCTCACGAAATCGGCGAGGGCAAGGATCCATCTGCGGAGGCTGGGAGGTGTTCTGTGCTCGCGAGATCGGAGAGGGCGAGGATCCGTCTACGGAGGGCGATGGCGGCAGCGAGATTTGTCTGTTGAGGCTGGCCGGGAAGTGTTCTCTGCTCTTCTCGTCTGCGGAGCTCTTCTCGTCTGAGGAAGTCTTCCAGTGTAGGTGCTGAAGCACCGAAGGAAAGAGGGGAAACGTTAGGTCACTTTTTGGGTAAACAACAGTTTGGTTATATTTTTGACCAATCAAAGTTGAGGAGGAATAGTTGTGCCATTTTTTCTAAAGTTTTTTCATGTATCAACTTATATTGAGGATTTTCAGAAATATTTCTAAAATAAAACTTATTTAGCTAAATATGACTAATAGTTACACAATGTAGTGTCATTGTAATTCCAAGTTAAAAATTGAACATAAGTTACTATGATTCGATTTGAGTGCTAATCACTAGTTATATTTTTGTAAATAATCTTTGTTTTAATTATAAATATATAATTATTTCATTTGTATTTTCTTGAGTTGGGTGCTAGCCGCTAGGCAATTCCAATCATTAATTTATTATTGGCTATCCTGATTAATTTATGTGTATGTTTATCGTTCTATACTAGAATAGATAGATTTCAGGATTGGGGGTAAGGGGGCTACGTCATAATGCACACGTGTTAAAACCTACAAAAATACGGCCAGGTCATAAAAATAGACACGGTGCGGTTGCAAACGACTCCAATGCATGTAGTGTTTACTTCCATTTTGCTGAGCTGGACAAAAAAATGTTGAACACCGTCAAAGAGACTTTGTGAGTGTAGAAAGCCTTCTACACAGGCTGACTCATCAAATTCTATGATTAAATAAAGCGGGCTGGTCGAAAAATAGGAGGGAAACAAAAACACTTCTACGCCGTCAATAAAAATATCGCGCTAGTAGAGCCAACCCTCATTAGGCAGAGGTTTTTTTTTTCAGATTGCTGAAGCGGCGAACTCTGGCTATTCAGGTATGTCAATTCTTAATTTCCTCTATTTTATTGAAAGAAGAAGCAGATCCCAAGTATTTGGAGTATTAAAGCTTTTTACATGCTCTTGATTCGTTCTTCCCTCTTGAGTACTTCGTATTTTATACGAAGTATTCAATTTAGATTCATCAATTTAGATAAGAGAGAATGGAATATAGGAGATTGAATAGTTAATCAGATACCATGAAATTTGCAATATGCAAGGCTATTGCATATTTGAGAATTAATTTTCTAGAATCATTGTCTCTGAAATCTTTTTGGCATTAAAGTCTGAATGATCTTGTGATGTCTCATATAACACTTGTTTGGTTAGTGAGAGTTCATTCTCACTTGAAGATGAGCTATTGGAGTCTGTGTCAAAGCTTGGTAAATCTGTTTCCATCACTTGAAATCTCCTAAAAACGTAATTCATAAATGAGAACAAAAGCCTGCAAAATATACTAACTACAACAATGAAGTAAACTTTTATTAATATTTTTAAGTTCAAGTATTCACATATCGAATATTATATCATTACATCAATATAAGAGATAAAAGAACTACGTTAATAATTTCAGAAAAGAACTAATGCTATAAAGTTTATGCTTAAACTACAAATAATTTATAAATGACATAAATAAATAGCAGCAATGAAGCCATTAAAAAGTGTAGTAGCAATGAGTAGCTGTGACGTGCATGTCTTTGTGACGTGCATGTCTCTGCTTTTGATAGAAATCCAATGAATAATATTTCCAACTTTCACAAAACCTCTAGAAAATCCAATGAGCAGTAGTGACGTGCATGTGATGATTATTTTCTCCCTATATTAGTTATTGCCGTAATCTTTAATGAGATGTTAAAGTTAAGAGTTTGGTTGGAATGGCACACACATGTCAAAGACAAGAATTACCTAAAAGAGAAGAACCAAAGAAGCAATCAAGCAATAGAGAGAGCAAGATGTAATCGGATCTTCTATGGCTACACAGAAGGCAAGCGTATAGAATATGAGTATGTGAAACCTAATTTTTGTAGTGAAGCCGTTAAAACATAAAGTTGATGTAGTTTTATTTTAATATATAATATATTACACATGTACAGTTTTCCTAGGCGTAGGACTTTATGCATTGGAAACTAATTTCGGGTCTCAATGTCTAGTAATTCCACATCGTGTGATGTGGATTAGAAACCCTATTACTTATTTGACAATTGGCATATTTTACTTGGACTAAACATGAGTGCATTGGGGATGCTCTTAGTTTTATTTTAATATATAATATATATATAATATATTACACATGTACAGTTTTCCTAGGCGTAGGACTTTATGCATTGGAAACTAATTTCGGGCCTCAATATAATGTCTAGTAATTCCACATCGTGTGATGTGGATTAGAAACCCTATTACTTATTTGACAATTGGCATATTTTACTTGAACTAAACATGAGTGCATTGGGGATGTTCTAACAAACTAGATGATTTCTATTGGGTGGTCGGGAAATAAAACACAAATTACAAATGATACTTCCTTATTAATTACTGATAGACAATTAATGATGATCCTCCCCTATGTATAGTACATATACTCTATCTCTCGCATATATCTTGTCCAAATTTGATGGCTGGTAAACTAAAGATGAGCCGTATAAACTGAAGAGAATACAATAGTGCTCATACGAGCTCTTAGCCCATTTTTTCGATTGGGACAGACACAACGAAGAATATCTTATTCATTAATTGTCAAATGACCTTCGGTATCTATGTAAATAAGGGTATTGGTTAGGAGACCATCCAGGGCAAGGGCTTTCCAAGTTTGTTAAAAATATGTCAAAAGGGTCCAATAAATCTTTTTATTATTTCAAACTTATCGCTTCCGCTCCTATACTAAAAAAGATTCTTATAAGTAGGTTTACATTACAAATTTTATAAATCTAGCCATTTAATCAGTTCTTGAACTGTAATAGCAAGGGTTTATATTAAAAAACTCAAACAATTGTTAAAATTTGAAGAAATATAGATGAAATTGTAAAAATTTTCATTTCAAAATGTCAAAGTCAATACTTTTGCACTTCGGAAATTAATTTTACTCTTCATCTACTTAGAATGTTTTTTACATTTTGTAATTTATATTTTTTACATTTTCACTTTATTTTCTTTTAGTTTTCTAATTTTAATTTTTTATTTTAAATTGTTAAATTATTTATCCATATTTTACATGTATACTACTTTATATTATTATCACATTATTATTTTTCAAATATATGATTTTGTATAAGATTTATTAATAGTTCTAAATTTTTAACTAACCTGCTATAGGAGGTCAAACTGACTTGATTAATTGTATTTTAAACGTAAGCGTACTTATATGATTGATAGAGTATATGGGCCTGGACCCCATGGCCCACACACTCAACGGCCCAAAAGACACCCGCATCGGCCAGAGGCACGCAACGTCCAAGAAAGAAAATGTCGTCTAGATCCTTGGGCAAGACCCAGGATCCGCATCGTCCATGGACCGCATCGTCCATGGACCGCATCGTCCATGGACCGCATCGTCCAGACTTCGTCTAGGCAGAATGTATTTTTCACTGTATTTTCTAAGTATTGTACACAGCCCATTAGTGGCCTTATTTCGCCCAAAGAAGGCATGATTATTGTAATGGGCCTCCTAAGCCCAAGGCTAGGGGCCCAAATCCACATTTTTACCTATAAATAGACCCCAAGGGGCTAATTATAGGGGGTTCCAAGTTGAGAAATATAATTGCTCACTTTCTCTCTCTAGCTCTCACTTCTCTCTAGAATTAATACTCTATCATTTGGTGCTTTCATTGAGAGTTTAGAACAGATCAAGTGAGTACCCCTCGTCGCTACTAGACGCAACGGAATGACAAGAACTAGGTCAAAGAACACCGGTAGGAATGCCCCACTGAACCAGGAAGGGCAGGGAAACGTTGCTAACAACGTCCCCAATGATCCTATCATCCAGGATGAGGACGCTCAGGAGGTCGAGCGCGCAGCGGCCGACCTTCGCGTCCAGCTCAACAAGACTGCCCCAGACGCCCGCATCGAGCTCGAGGACAGGCGCAATGCTGATCGCGCTTCGGGCCAACAGGCTTCTCACCCTGCTGCCCCCCAGATCAACCCGGCCGCACTATCGGCCATCGTCGCAAGCATTCTCCAGGACCCCAACGTAGTCAGCGCCCTCGTCGCAAAGACAGGGGAGAACAACACTCCCGTGACTGGAGAGGTCGCGACGGTGCCACCACCTCCGCCTCGGCCACAGGGCGTCACCTTCTTCGGCAACGACGAAGGCGTCCTCGCCGTGGACACCCATTCCCATATTGCCTCTCCTACCCGGGATACACCGGCCCAACCTCGCGGTAAGATCTCAGTCTTCAACAGGCTGGGTGACATCGCGAGCCGTCGGGTACCTACGGGAAGGGTGGCGGATCAGTTGGGTGATCGCGAACCGGGATCACCAAAGGAAAGCTTCGGGTCCGTCTCCCGGACAACGAATCGGCCCCGACCAGATAAAGGCAAAGGAAAACTGAATGATGATGATGCGCGTCATCAGATCAACCTGGCCCACGCGGCCCGGATCCAGACCCCGCTGGGTGGCGCTGCGGCCAACACGGACCCAAGGGACGAGATCATCGCCCGCCTGGAGAAGCGCCTCGCTGATATGGAAGCCCGGGAGGCCGCAGGGCGCGCAGCGGCTCACACATCCCAGCATCCCAACTACGACGCGCTCCTGCACAAAGTCTGTGCTCTGGAAAGGGAGTTGGCTGACCGGCGCGATGAGCCCGTCATCCAAATACGAACCAGGACCCCCTTCTCTGCGAGGGTGCTCTCCGCTCCCATCCCAGAGAAATACAAGGGGAATCCGATCAAGCCATATGACGGCCGCACTGATCCCCAAGAGCACTTCACCCGTTATCAGAACAATATGATGATGACCAACGCTTCGGAGGAGTACATGTGTCGCTGGTTCCTCTCCACCTTGGAGGGACCAGCGTACGATTGGTTCAACAACCTTCCAGAGGGGAGCATCGACTCATGGCAGGACCTTGCTCAACGCTTCCTCACCCACTTTGCCGGGAGGAAACGTGCGAAGAAGCATTTCGCTCATCTCCTGACCATCAAACAACAGCCGGAGGAGACGCTCCGAGCCTTCCTTGACCGCTGGACGAGGGAGGCGGACGAATGCGAGGGAGCCGATGAACGCACCCTCCTGGCCTTCCTCCGCGGAGCACTCCGGCCGAGCCACTTCGCCCGGAGTCTGTTCACAGAGCCCCCGCAGTCATACCTCGCGGCGCTCCGACGCGGAGACAGGCACGCTGACGCCGACGAGCTCCTGAACCAGAAGAAGGGTGGGGAGAAGCAACAGA